CCGCGGCCGCGCGATTTCTGTTCTTATCCTGAAGCAAAGTTCTTAACCCGAGGTACTATTTCTGGGTTAGCAGAGTCTGTAACCTGAAGCGTCTGTAACCCGAGGTACCACTGTATTGAAGTACCACACTAATTTTCCCCAAGCAGTTACCATTTTGCTTTTACTGGGCAGCAAAGACCCAAGCAAAATCGTGGCGGATTTCTATCAGCATTTTAATCCTAATTCTCGCAACGTGTGTTGCAAATTGCTCTTCCAAGATACATCTTGCCCTTCCCAGCAGGACTTTGGAGAATTTACAGTGGTACCTCGGGTTAAGAACTTAATTCGTTCTGGAGGTCCGTTCTTAACCTGAAACTGTTCTTAACCTGAAGCACCACTTTAGCTAATGGGGCCTCCTGCTGCCGCCGCACCACCGGAGCCCTATTTCTGTTCTTATCCTGAAGCACTATTTCTGGGTTAGCAGAGTGTGTAACCTGAAGTGTATGTAACTTGAAGCGTATGTAACCCGAGGTACCACTGTACTGGAAATAATCAGAACATAACAAAATAAGGAAAACCTGCTGGATCAGGCCATCCTGATTCATCTAGTCTGTCACCCTGTTCCCAACAGTGGCCAAGCAGATGTTTGTGGGGAACTCACAAGCAGGAGTCAAGCCCAAGAGCCCTCTCCCCTCCAGCAACTGGGATTCAGAAGCAAGACTGTCTCTTCATTGTGGAGGCCGACTATCACCATCATGGCCAGTAGCCATCAATAGCCCTCTCAGCCACAAATTGGTCTAATCCTCTTTTAAAGCCATCCTGGTTGGAAGCCGTCACTGCCTTTTGCGGGAGCGAGGTCCATCCTTTGACTTTGCATCAGATGCCCCTAAGTCCTGGTGTTATGAGGGAGGGGAAAAAATTCCACTGCCAGCTTTCTTCACGCCATGCATAATTTAGATATGTAATTTCCAGTTAACATCTGATCTCACTCTGGAAGGAGCCGTGCTTGCAATTCAATGCAGTGTTTAAATGCATGCTGAATTGTAACCTTTGTGTTTGCCAGTAGTCCTTGGTTGCGATTGCAGCTTCCTTTCTAGCTATTATTCAGCGCTGCAATAAGGTTCCCACATGTGCTGTGCCATCGCATCTCTTTAGACAGGCAATTTTTTAGAATTTACTTGTTAGAACACATTCAGGTCACATCAAAGATGGCAAGCTGAAGGGTTTTATTCTTGGCCTTCGCTTTTTCAGGATATCTTCCCTGTTTTTTTAACCCTAGAATAACTGTAGAATTTCAGAAGCACTTCATTTTAAAATCAAAACATCCAACATTTCTTTAAGCAGGTAGGTAAACGTCTGGGGCTGGTGTATGTTTCCTGTCATTTCAAAGGCATGTCAGGGGAATAGGTAGACTATAGATCTTTCAGAAGCAGGCCTTCCCCACAACCAGCTCTATCATGCCCCGATCGGCCCCTGTCATGCTCCATGTCAGCCCCTACTGACACTGAAGTTCTGCTCAGTGGCATAGAGAGGTCCTCTGAGGTCAGACCTCTCTCTCCACCCTCAGAATGGGAGGTCCAACACATCCAGTTCCCCGGAATGTCCTCAGGGACAACAGAAGGCTTTTTTTATTTGTATTGTTTTCTTTCTCTTTTAACTTTTTATTCCATGGAAATGCACCAGAATGGGAAGACTTTAAAAATTCAACACAGACATGAAAAAGTGTAAATATAGCCTATTCCAACATGAGACATGGAGAAAGGATAATTACATGCCATCTTGGAAAAGTGCTGTCTCTCTTGAATGTGCCTGTCTTAACTCTCTTGAAGAAATTCCATCCAAAAAGTTTAACTGGATGGCTTCAAGTTCTAGCATTAAGAGAGGGAGAAAAGCTTTCTTTACCCCATGCATAATTTTATACGCTTCTATCACGTCCCCTTTTACTCACATTTTCTCTGAACGCAAAAGCCCCAAATATTGTAATATTGCCTTATAAGAGAGTTGTTCCAGCACTATGAGAATTTCAGTTGCCCTGTTCTAAAACTTTTCCAGCTCTACAACATTCATTTTTAGGTGAGGCAACTAGAAGCGTACATGGTATTCCAAGCATGGTCACACCATACATTTTCAAACTCTTTCCTAATGATTCCTAGCGTGGAATTTGTCTTAAAAAACAAAACAAAAACAGCTGCTGGACACTGGTCCATCATTGTGCACTATGGCCTCAAGTTCTCATTCGCATTCAGTCACTGCCAGTTCAGACTCCATTAGCACATGTGTGAAACCAAGATTTTGTTGCCCCAATGTGGATCACTTTGCACTTGCTTATATCAAATTCCTTTTGGTGTTTTACTGTCCATTCACCAAGTCTGGAGGCTAGCAGAGCTTTCTTAATTGCCAAAGATGCCCAGGCCTTTCAAAAAAGTATTGAGGAGGTTCTTTATATATTTCCCATCAGCAGACGTTTTGAGATATTTTATGATTTCATATGTTGTTTTACTTTGCACAGATGGAAGATGGTACTCACTGAGGAAGTATCCTTACTGGTTTCATCCACCAAGTGTTACATAACCAGGAATATATCTAAATGCTAAATTATGCTTCTGGGACCTCTGGCGCAGCCGAGATAGATGTTGTGACTTATGAATTCAGGCAGCCTGCTCTTGCTTATTACAGAAGTTAACGGGTAGAAAAGATTTTTTAGATCAAACAGCTCTTCTTGCTGCTTATGTAGGTTCAAAATATTTGAAGTTGCTCAAGAGGGATTCGTTTTGAAACTGAAACTTCTTGGATTAATTCCTGAGTTGTCAACTGAGCCAGAATGAAACCTGGCAGGCTCAACATAATCTCTGTATATGTCAGGCCATACTTTTATTTAAGCAGCTCTGCACTTGGGGCTTAATTTTGTACTGAGCTATTTATGGGCAAATTTATGTGCATCACAAATGCAGAAATGTGCAAAACTGAAGTACTGCAGTCAGGTTGCAACCATATGGGAGCGAACATTTCAGGGGCTCCTGATGCAGCTCTTTAAACAACTTGGAGAAAGCTGCTACTCTCTGTACTTTTTGAAAGAGGTGCACGGGAAAAGCTTAGCAGATTGTTTGCTGGGAGAAATTATCCTGCATCCCAGGGGACAATCAAGAGCCTTCTGAGCTCCATCTGTTACCTGGGGTATAGCCATAGTTATAAAATAAAAACAGAAAAATAGTATTCTAGTCAGTTTTATGTTGCTCAGAATAAAATAAGATGCAAATGGAAGGCAACATCTTTTTAAAGTGACCTACTGTGCTTCTTGAAGGGACGCGGGTGGTGCTGTGGGTTAAACCATAGAGCCTAGGACTTGCCGATCAGAAGGTCGGCGGTTCGAATCCCCGCAAAGGGATGAGCTCCCGTTGCTTGGTCCCTGCTCCTGCCAACCTAGCAGTTCGAAAGCACGTCAAAGTGCAAGTAGATAAATAGGTACCGCTCTGGCGGGAAGGTAAACGGTGTTTCCGCGTGCTGCTCTGGTTCGCCAGAAGCGGCTTAGTCATGCTGGCCACATGACCCGGAAGCTGTACGCCGGCTCCCTTGGCCAATGAAGCGAGATGGGAGCCGCAACCCCAGAGTCGGCCACGACTGGACCTAATGGTCAGGGGTCCCTTTACCTTTACCTTTCACTGTGCTTCTTGGAATAAATTAATACTATGTCAAGAGAATCAGGGTCACACTTAACTAACTTTCTACACCTTAGCAATCCTCAGTTAAAATGTCTGTGTAATGGGATTTTCAAAGGAATATCTGAAATTTTGGTATTTCAATTGCAGCAAAGGTGGCTATGCTCCTAAAATGACAGGACTTCTCCCATTTATTGTGCCATAGTGTACATCTTAGAACTATGGCCACTGGTGTGCATGGTTAATATAGATTTCTTCTCCATTTGCAGTTTTTCCAGTTTGTTGGCTTTTCTCCCCAATTGTTACACTAGGAATGCATCTTTATAAATAATAACAGGCTGGGCATGTCTACATTATGAACCTTACAGTCTTAAACTTAAGCTATCACTGTTTCTTCCACCAACACCCATGGGACCTGTAGATTTTGGCCCATGTTGTGAATCCTGTATTTAAAAAAAAAACAGTGCAATCTGAGAACTGTAATTTCCAGGCCCCTGTGTGGAACCGTGGGAGATATGCAGTCAAATCTAATGATGTATATTCTTGCTAGTTAGCATGTGAAGGGGTTAAGCAACTGTATTGCTGATAGGCAGACTCAGACCATAGAAATGTAATTGGTAGAGAAAGCTTTGTGTGATGTCATTTCCCCTCCTCTCCTGGGAGGAAATAAGCAATTAAGTATTTCCTGTTCCCTCTGTCTGTCTGTCTCTGTCTCTGTCTCTGTCTCTGTCTCTGTCTCTGTCTCTGTCTCTGTCTCTTCAACTAGCCATGGCAGTGGACATCTGTCTGCTTGCCTGCAGCTGTTTTTGCTGTAGATGTAAGTATTTTACCTGCAATAGTTGTTACTGCTGTTGCTGCTCAGGAGGAATGCTTGACTGTGAGTAAACTATATATTTTAAACTTCTCAGTCTGTAGCATGGGAAAAGATTAGCAGATTGTTTGCTGGGAGAAATTATCCTGCATCCCAGGGGACAATCAAGAGTCAGACCATGGCAGCAAACAGGACTAGTATACCCATCTCTACATTCCTGAAAAGGGTGAATGACTCAGCAAGTCATGCCCTTGACCTTACTGGTGTTGCTATGGTAACCCAGTGAGCCTGGCACTCTTCTCTTAGAACATCCAGATGTGGGAGATGTGTTCCTCAGTGCATGAGACCAAGCACTGTGCAATCTAATACATGGTTCACATTGCACCAACATGAACTGCAGATTCATACAACTCTCCTTGTAAAGAGGCATACCAGTGGATTCTATTTCGACATTCACTGTTAAAAAACTTTCCTATGCAGCATGTGGCTCTGCAGCCACAGTCTAAATACCTCTGCATGTCACATTAATAGTAAACTGGAACAGGAAACAAACATTCTGTGTAAATAATTTATTAAACCATAAAATCCAAATTGTGTTGATATTCACTGTTGAAATATGAGTGACAATCTACTTATGCAATATATCCTTATGCACTGCCATTTTATCAAAATCTTTATTTTTCTGGTGGAGTTTGACAACAACGTATGCTAAATATATAACAACATTTTACAGGGTTGGCTATAACTGAGGTTTGTATTAACATAATACAGAATGTGTGGAAGGTGAAAACAGCTTCTGTACACTCAATTCTGACATAAACCCTTAAGCAATATCATTTTTAAGAAGCTAGATATTTCATAACACACATCACATTTGGTAAACACAACAAACTAAAACCCAAATATAAAATTCCACGTTTAAAGTTGAATGGCACAGAGCTAATGTAGTTGCACTGTCCTGGTTCCAGACATCACTGAAACAATACTAAAAACACAATTCCACACAATTATATTTTATCTCATATTTTCAAAAGCCATAATCCTAAATCTCATGTGTTCTGTGTCAAAGAGCTATGGCCGTAATTTTAATTTGGCCTTAGAAGTACTTTTCTCAAATTATTTTCAAAAATCTTTGCACAAAGCACCACCCGACTTCTTACAAAGAGGAAAGTTTATGTGTGTTCATCGAAACCCATCTAAGCTCTGGCTAATTCCTACGGCTGTTCTTCTTTAAGGATGTTTTTCATAGCCATGAAAATTCTAGGATTGACTTCTATAAATTATTCCCAAGGAAAACGACATCCTTAGCAACCTTTCAACATGACTATTATTCAAATGGTTCTGAAACTGCATGTAAATTTTAACTGACGTTTTAATTTGATTACTTGCAGCTAATTCACATGAATTGCACACATTATGAATTATCCTGATGACAGCAGGTGTCGGCACGTCTTTTTATATTCTTGGGTCTGAGATTGGTTCGTTACGATGCCAGCATTTGAAATCAGTGGTTGAGTACTTGCTTCGCATGCGTAAGGTCCCATAAATCCCTGATGTTTCTGGTTAAAGACTATTTTGTATCCAGGTTGAGAAAGAGCCCTGCATGAGACCTGTGGGGGTTAGGGTTCATTGAAAAAGATCAAGATGGGTTGACTTCATGGCTAAGGCATGAGGATGTGATATCCTTTCCTAACCATCAGTAGCAATAGACCTAGCTGCACATGTAGTAGAATGGAATGGTTAAATCCTGAGCTGGTAGAATGGACTGTATAACTCAGAAGATCTTATTTCTGAATGCTACTCCAAAGAAGAAAAAAAGGGGGGAGAGACTCATTGCAAGTAAAAATAATAATCCAGTATGTTAATAATAAAGTCTGCTGTGCTGGAAACCCAAATGAAGGGAATTGCAGGGGAGCATTCAAAAATATGATGTATCACAAGCAGTTTGAAAGCCAGGAATGTCCCCAAACATTTTGTTGTGTGAGGTGAAGGACCAGGTGGCACCTCTCCCTACAGCACAGACAGAAGCCAATTGAATTGGTTGATGAATTAATTTCAACGCTAGTGACAGGACAGTGGCCACCACCACACCAGATGGCAGCACGGGGGGGGGGGGGCAGGCCTCATGGCAATATAGCTCTATCCCTCATCAATTTGCCACCATTCCTGACATATGTTGCCTTAGGCAGCCACCTCACTCTGCCCATTAGTAGGACCAACCCTGCTGAGGGGCCAACCTAGAAGAGACACCAATCACATAAGGAGCAATTTTGTGAATGGCTTTGTAAAAGTGGCAGGCAGGATTGGAACCTTGCCATGGGGCAACAGGGCTCTTTGGTGCCAATGGAATATTCTCTTCTAATGCAAATAGCAGGCACTGGGTTCCAATTCCAACTGGGACTTTCAGATGAGGCAAAGGGTTAAAGCCCCTTACTGTTCTCACCTGGATAACCAACCTCATTTCTACTGCATGTGTACATCAGACCTATGTTGAACAAGTCAAAGAAATCCTAATATTATTTTAGCAGTCCTTTGTGCCTCTTTGGGGAAGCCTGCCTTCCCACTATGGGATAATAATAATGCTCAAGGTTTGTATAGCACTTTCAAGTGTCCATTGTGCTTCGTGTGCGCTAACTTATCTAGTTGTAATGCTTACAAAACCCTGTAAGGTAAGTCAGCATTGTTATCCCCCATATAGTAGGGGGGCGACTGAGACTTAAAGGGAGAGTGAGTTGCCCAAGGCCACCTAGTGAGTTTGTAGCAAAACATGAGATTTGTAGCTCAGATTCTCAGCCACTAGGCTACACCAGCTTTCTTGACTAAGTATTTGGGTGTATTAAATCCAAAAACACAAACAAAATAAAGAATATATCTGAAAAATAGAGAAAATACTGATACCCTGTTTTATCTATTTTTTCCCCAAAAGAAATTTGTGTCTCATTAACATTATCTTAAAACATTTGTAATATATAATAAGTACAGATCCTACCTCTGGAACACATACATTCTGACAATATATATATATGTTGGGGATATATATCTATAGATATAGATTTATTTATTATATCATATCATATATATCTTATAAATATACTGTAAACATTATAGATTTCTGAATAATTATAGCTATAATACTAGCAATATCTATATTTAAAAATACAGTTCAAGGGTCCTCTAGTCTTACTACTTACAGAAGACAGAATTAAACCTGCTGAACAGAATTTATGAATACACCAAGAGTAAAAATGCTTTTACAAATAAAATTCTGTATAAATTAGGGCTGTTGTTTGATTAAAAGAAAGTTTAGTTGATTAATCCACTGATAAAAATCTGCCCAAATTGTTTATTATTATTATTTATTCTGTATAGGCTATGACGTGCAACAGTACACATGCCTACTCAGAAAGAAGCCCATTGAATTCAATGGGACTTATTCCAAGGTACGTGGTAGAGTAAGCTGCTACTCCAAGGTACCTAGGAGTAAGCTGCATAGAACTCAGTGGGGCTTACTCTTAGTAGACACATACAGCATTGTACTGTTAAGGTTACATAGTTCCAAATGAGTTCAAAACTATACTATTGAAGAAGAAAAATTCCTCCATTGTTTTTAGATGATGCAAGCATGTGGTGGAGCAAGCATGATCTCAGAAGAACCATTACTTCCTACGAGGTGGAAGAGGAAAGTGCCCCCCCCCCCATGGATTTATAACCACTTGCATTCAAAATAATAATTAACCATCAAATAGAAAACAAAAATTAATCAGGAGCATCTCTTTCATCAAGTAGCAATATTTTGATTTAGATCTTTTGATTAATCAACTCAACTCTGCAGCCACAGTATAAATATTGTAATAACTCCCAGGAAGGGAAAAAAGTAGAGAACTAGATTACAAACTGGATTTCAGATCAAAGCACCTGTACAAGATTGTGAAGTGAAGATGTTTTGCAAGATGCAAGAAGGGCTTTTGTAAGTGGTAACATTTTACAACTGATGCCATTTCTCCCTGAATTTGTAATGTCTTGGGGCCACAGGCCTCAATCCAGATGGGGAGATTTGTACATTTAAAAGGTGGTCCTCCTCACATGTATCACTTACTGGCTTAGGAACCGTGGACACAAAAGGGGTGGCATTCAATTGTCAGCACCCAAATGTCAGCACATTGCTTTCAGTGTGCAGTCTAGAGCACTTTTCCATCTACATTCTGAATCAACTAGTTCTGATCCTTTTAAAAGCATGGCTTAGGCTAGATAGGGCCAGAAATACTGGACAGTTGTTACTCTCAGCAGTGGCCCCATCTTGCATCCATCTGATAAATTCCCACTGAAGTATCACTGTAAAGCAAGCAGGATTGGACCATTGACACATTCATTCATTCATTCACTACTAAAACTCTCAATTTTACAGAGTGTTCTTTTTCTTTTTTAAAAAGCCTTAGCACACAGAACAGGAGTCAAAGAAACCTTTCATCCTCAGACTTCAGTACACCGAAAAACCTTTTTTTGGAAGGATTTCACTATGTTATTGACCTGCCAAACAATTCTTATGGCAGCCTTTCACAGTTTGCTGGTGAATGCAGCTGTTGTATTGTCATTGCTGCTGCTCTTTTACTGCATGTTGGAATTCAAAATACAGCTTTGCTGCTAAATTGTTGGATTCTTGGTTTAGAATTTCTTCTTCGAGGACGATCTATAATTAAACAACAACAACAGAAATATTGAGGAATTAACCAACATCTGTCCCTTCTGTCTATTTCCTTCATTACTCTTTTTCATCTACCATATACGTAGCCACCAGGGAGTCACTACACTGGTGTTGCCCAGCATTAATATCATGCAGCCATTAGTAGCCCTAGCAACTAAGGGCCAGGCAATTGGTCCAGCAACCAAATGATAAGTGTAGTCTGCTCTTTTTTGCTTTGTCTTTGGATCTGTAGAGAATGGTGGGGCAGCTCTGTTCACATGACCTCTAGTTGGTCATGCTGTCTCTGCTTACTGAAGGTAAAAGGGGATGGACAAGGTGTCAGGATGGACAAGAATGGCACAGTGCAAATGCAGTGGGAGAACTGGATCGGCTCTGCCATTGCATTTACAACCTTGCCCCTCTCCATCTATGTCTCAGTTAGCAGCAGCGATGTGACTACCCAGAGGTCAGGTGAGTGTTGCCAGCCCACCATGCTGCCTGCTATTGGTCTTAATTGTAAAGAGTTTTTCCATACAACTGCACTAGTGCAATGGAGCCAAACCACCACCTGATATTTCACATACAACAACGGTATTGAGACCAGGTGTCCTGCAGAGGAATCCAATTCCTTGTGCAGGTGATGGAGCAGCTATGGATCCAGCTCTGGCCTGCTCTACTCTGCTCTACCCCACATCAGGGTCCAACACTTGATGTCATCGGTGGGAACATTGCTGGAGATGGCTGCTCAACCGCTGTGCTTTTTAGAGGGTGCAGTAAGCCAGCCAACAGAAGTCAATGACCAGGCACTGCTGGTATATCATAACTCCCTCCAGCAGCACAGGTCAGGGGTTAGGACTGATCTGGTATTTCTATATGATTCAGTTCATATTCCTGAATTTTGAACTTGAGCCTAACAACTATATTTGAGAATTCGGCATAAAATCTAAGTTATGAAATAATCCCCTGCTGCTCTATTATCAATCAACATTGATTTTAGGGTATGGCATGTCAAAGCAAATTATGGATTAGCACCTAAACCCAAATTGTTAAATCAGGGCTTGCGAAACTACAAGCAGGCTATGGATCACGACATGCCAAAAGTCTTTTCTAATGGTAGGCTAAAAGCAAGACCATCGGATTCTCTCACCTACGACATATGGTTTTGTTGTGCATTCTGCTGCTGCTGCTGAATTAGCAACTGCTGCTGTTGTCTGCGCCGTGCTGTCCTTAGCTTCTCAAAGCGAGCCTCCATCTCATCCAACACTTTGGGAGTGTAGCGCACCACTAGCTTGACGCTGTCCTTAGCGGCCTTCAGGAGCTCCACAGCTTTTTCGTGGTGCTCTCCTTCCACGCTCTGATTACGAAAGGAAAGAATAGTGAAAAACCACATATTGCAAGATGTGAGTTTCTATTAAGGACTTGGGTTTGGAAGGCAATACCTGAACTTCTTACCCCCTGGCTGCTGGAAAGTGTCCAAGGGAGAGTGAAAGGCAAGAAAGCAGAACCCAGGATCAGGGCAGAAAACACAGTTCCAGCAGCTTAATAAAGCCCTAAAGTCTTTTAGCTTTTTGTAGTTGGTGCAAGAATTATATTAAATATGAAGTTGGCTTGTATTGATGCACCTACTGCAGGGATGAGTTCTCAGATAACTGGCACATACAGATTTACTGCACCCCAAAACACCCTTCTAAAATCAATATATGGCTACACAAAATCTCCACTTTGCAATTTTTGTATCTGAAATGTCACATTATGACTGCCTGTTGTTTTGCTTTTGTTTTTTTTAAATTATCATTGACTTGCAAACTATTCCTAATATTGCATATCATAAGAGCAGCTTTTTGTAACAACACAACAAATGTTTGCAATTCCACACTGGACCCATCAAGACTCAAAAGCTACATATAATGGTTTGTAACCAGATTTCACTCCAACGTGTGGGAGCATCCCCTCAATGGAACTCATGGGACACTCCCACTGACAGACCAATAGGAGACAGCTTTTGCCTGTTCCTTCCTCCCACTACAGCCTCTAGGACCATCTTCCACAGTTCCTGAGGGTTAGGTGACTCTCTGAAGCAGTGTAGGGAGAGGGAAACGGCAAAAGTCTTCCATGGATGGAAAGAGCATTTCCATCTGTGGAAGGTGATGTCTGGACACAGCCCACAGTATTTCCAGCTATGACTTCTTACTTGCAGCATGGGAGCTGAAGCTCCTTCAAAAAGCACAGTTCATAAAAAAATAACAATTAACATGTTCACATACCACTCCATTAACAGAAAGTAACTGGTCTCCTCGTTTGAGTCCTCCATGCCTCTCAGCTACTCCTCCAGGAATTATGCGAGAAATATAAATAGGAGAATTTTGTTCTTTTCCTCCCATTACATTAAAGCCAAGGCCTTCATCAGTCTTTGGCAGTTCTACCACTCGAGGGTGAGAATGGCCTTCACTAGCTGCAAAGGCAGCAACTGTTGCCTAGAAGAAAACACATCTCTTCAGCATATAGCGAGTACAATGAAAAGCACTGGTGCTGATTTTATTTAAAATATTAATTTGCATGAAACAGAATTTGCAATTCCTTAATTTTAAGCAAATATTCCATAATTCTTCTGAATACGAAGTATTGATGTGGAGCATTTAGTACAGAATTGCCCAAGGCCTCCAAGCAGTTATGTGCCAACATCTTTGGTATTAGGACTGGGGTGCATGAATCCCAAGTACGGAGTTTCACATGTGCTCAGAGGCTCACATGGAGCTCCAGCACATTTGGGGATCCCTGTTTTCATAAACGCAACCCATGCACATGAAGCAAATATGAAAACCAATTTTGTGCACTACTTGGAGAAGTTTGTCTGGGCAGAGGGATGCCATGATTTCGGTAGAGTTTCTAAATCTATAAGCAGTTTTCTATGTTCTCTAGAATGTGACCTCCCTATGAAACCTGAGTAATAATAATAATAATAATAAAATAATAATAATTTATACCCCACCCATCTGGCTTGGCTTCCCCAGCCACTCTGGGCGGCTTCCAACAAAATATTAAAAATATATTAAAACACCAGTCATTAAAAACTTCCCTAAACAGGGCTGCCTTCAGATGTCTTCTAAAAGTCAGATAGTTGTTTATTTCCTTGACATCGGATGGGAGAGTGTTCCACAGGGCAGGCGCCACCACTGAGAAGGCCCTCTACCTGGTTCCCTGTAACTTCGGTTCTCGCAGTGAGGGAACTGCCAGAAGACCCTCAGTACTGGACCTTAGTGTCTGGGCAGAAGGATGGGGGTGGAGACACTCCTTCAGGTATACTGGGCCAAGGCCGTTTAGGGCTTTAAAGGTCAGCACCAACACTTTGAATTGCTATTTAAATTGAATTTTTATAATGCAAACTCTTTCTGCTGTGAATAATGATAATAAAAAGTAAGCTTTGCCAGACTACAAAAAAGGGAGCTTTTTTTTTCTTAAATAGATTAAAAATGTATTTTCATAGTAACATTTAAAAATGTTTTAACAGGTTTGATTAACAACTGAAAGCTCTGCAGGGCCTTTATGCACACACTGAGCTTCATGCTAGCAGGGGCAGGCATGCAACATCCCTCAGCAGCAAAGTGGAATCTGTATACCATAGTCTTTACATGCGAAGTGGAGCCACTGGACTCTGGCAATGGTAAGGAGTGGAAGAAAAAATACTTTAATTAGGGGAGTTTAGTTTAAATAACTGTGTCAAATAAAATTTTAGGACTCCTGAAATTAAAACAGTTGCTGAAAGTAAAGCAGCAGGAAACCAGGATTACATTGCTTTAAAAAACCCCCAAAGTTTAGAAGTATACCTTAATTCTCAAAATAAACCAATTTGCATTATGGAAACAGACATTTCCCCACCAGCAACTGTTTTTCAAAGTGTTTTGTATGTTTCTTTGGCATGTTAAAATGCAGGATAGAATCTAGCTACAGTTAAACACTTTAAGGGGTTCATTCATTTCCATAGGAGAGATGTACACTAGAATCCTATATTTGCATATTCAGAAGTAAGTCCTATTGGCGCTTAGCCTCAGGCAAGTGGCTATAGGATGGTAGCTCCAAGCACAGACATAACTCTTCTATTGAAACAAATGATGCTAGAAAGTGCTTAACTTCAGCTGGAATGATGCCCACCATTCTTAAAGGTCCTATGAGAGATTGTTCTATTAGGGATGTTTAATGGATGGAACCAGGTAACATGAGTATGAGACCTTAGTTACATATGCAACATGTGTTATCATGCAAAAATTGTAACCATGCACACATTAAATGTCAAACATAAATGCACAAGATAATGCAATGCAGACAGCCCAGAAAAAACCAGGAAATATTGTGATATTGAAACATTGCTCTACAATCCTGCTGTTCTAAATGAATAAGAAATGAGAATGGCAAACCTGGAGAGTTTTTCACCTTTAACTGTACTTTTCTATCCACAGCAGAAGTAATATACAACACACTTTTCTTGGATAAGTAGTTACAAAGCTCAGGCTCAAACCACTCTTGCATATGTGCAATGTTCCAGAAGCTGATAACATAATGGAGGAATTTTATTTAGACCTACCTTTAGCTTATTAAAGTTAAAAAGTACTGCATGACTCAGAATGGTTTTTTTAAAAACCCTCTAATAATATAAAACACATTATTTTAATGTTTTTAATAATACATTTAAAATAATGTTTCCCCTACATCAAACTTTGACTTTCCTCCATTTCAAATCAACAGGATTCTTTCACCAGAATTGTGGAAAGAACATTAGCATTAATTGCTTTGATTTGCAAAGAGCGGTGTTCTTAGGTTTGTGTGCATATGCTTTGTAAAAGTTCTACAGTTTTCTTAGTTTTCTTTCCCCTGGCTCACTCATGCAGAGAAAATTCATTCAAGTTTTATCAGTGTTATAAGGCAGAATCTAGACAGATTTAAATGTGGTGAAGAAAGTGAAATACCTAGGGATAAATATGACGGCCAAAAATTTGAATTTATTTAAAGATAATTATGAAAAATGTTGGTCAGAGGTTAAAAAAGATTTAGAAATTTGGTCAAAATTGAAGCTTTCCTTGTTGGGTCGAATTGCTGCCATAAAGATGAATGTTTTGCCAAAAATGTTGTTTTTGTTTCAAACCTTGCAGATTGTGGACAGGATGGACTGTTTCAAGGGGTGGCAGAGAGACATTTCTAAGTTTGTCTGGCAGGGCAAGAAGCCCAGAATAAAATTTAAAATATTGACTGATGCTAAAGAAAGAGGGGGGTTTGCCCTGCCAGACATGAAGTTGTATTATGAATCAGCAGCATTCTGCTGGTTGAAAGACTGGCTACTTCTTGAGAACACTGACATTTTGGATTTGGAAGGGTTTAACAATGCGTTTGGGTGGCATGTATATCTGTGGTACGACAAGGTTAAAGCTCATAAAGCATTCAAGAACCATATTGTCAGGAAAGCAGTGTTTAATGTCTGGATAAGATATAAAGATCTATTAGAAAACAAGACCCCAAGGTGGCTGTCACCCATGGAAGCTAAGGCTCTGAAAAGACTCAATATGGAGGCCAAGTGGCCGAAATATTGGGAGATTTTAGAACAAAACGGAGACACATTGAGATTGCAGAGTTTTGATAAACTAAAAGACAAAGTGCGAGATTGGCTACATTATTATCAAATTAGAGAGGTTTTTAATATGGATAAAAAAATAGGCTTCCAGGTGGAAAATCGAAATTAGAAACAGAACTGTTAGAACCTAAAATTAAGGTACTTTCAAGAATGTATAACTTGCTGTTAAAATGGAACACTCAGGATGAAACGGTCAAATCAGCTATGATTAAGTGGGCGCAAGACATTGGTCATAATATTATGTTTGCTGACTGGGAACGGTTATGGACCACTGGTGTGAAATTTACGGCATGTAATGCCTTAAAAGAAAATATTATGAAAATGATATATAGGTGGTACATGACCCCAGTCAAGCTTGCAAAAGTATATCATTTGCCTGATAATAAATGTTGGAAATGTAAAGAAACTGAGGGAACATTCTTTCATCTTTGGTGGACGTGCCCAAAGGTTAAGGCTTTCTGGGAAATGATCTATAATGAATTGAAAAAGGTATTTAAGTATACCTTCCCCAAGAAACCAGAGGCCTTCCTCTTGGGCATTGTCGGCCAAATGGTGCCAAAGAAGGATAGAACTTTCTTTATGTATGCAACAACAGCAGCAAGAATTCTCATCGCAAAACACTGGAAGACACAGGATTTGCCCACTCTGGAAGAATGGCAGATGCAAGTGATAGACTACATGGAATTGGCAGAAATGACTGGCAGAATCCGAGACCAGGGAGAAGAGTTAGCGGAAGAGGACTGGAAGAAATTTAAAGACTACTTGCAAAAACATTGCAAAATGTTTGAATGTTAAAATGATGCAGGATACAAAGATAATATGGCATTAGTGACATAGTTGAAAGGAATATGTAAAAAATGTTATATAAGAATAAGGGTGAAAAAGCTAGAATAATATTATGTCAAATTTAAACAAAATGATATAAAGGGAAAAATTGGAGACATAATAGTTGAAATGTATAATATAGAACAAGATTTGAAAGAGGGTAAGGTACTGCTGAATATGATTGTGTAAAAGGGAACACAGAAAAGGGAGATGTGAGGGAGTCAGGAAGGAGGGTTATGAAAACAATAAGTAAGAAATTGGATTTTTATGTCTTTTTTATGCTACCTTTTTATGTTTTCTATTGTATTTTTATGTTCTTATTTGACTGTGATAATGTTTTTCCTTTTTTTTTGTTTGTTTTGATTGCGAAGTTTGTTTTACTGTTTAAAATTTCAATAAATATCTTTTTTAAAAAAAATATAAGGCAGAATCTATTCCATGAGGAAATGTGTATTTTATTGCAAACATTTATTCCCTGCACAATGTGAACACAAAAGTACATTTCAGATTTAGTTACAAAAGCAATGGGATGGATTGGATAAAATGCTAAACCACAGTTTAGCATTGCAAGGATGATTCTAGCCTCCCAGTGGGCTTGCACATGCCCCTCCCCTCCTACGCAGAATTCCTGAGCAGTTATGAAGCTTTCACTTCTGCTTCGATTAACCTCAGGTTATTGTGTAATCTGAAGCCACACAAACTGTGGTTAATCTTAACTATGGTTGGTGGAAACAAGCTAACTTCAAACCATAGTTTATTAACTTAACCTGCTTATCTGAACCCCATTTCACGTTTTAGATGGCATGCCAAACTTTGGTAAATCAAAGATGGAAGAAAAAACTTCCAATCTCCTTGGAGTTGCACCAGATGGGAGAAGCAAGAAGCCTGGGAAAAGCAAAGCTTCTTGTACTGCTAAAACCAACGGTTCAGTGTTGCAACTGAACGCAGCCATTATTTCTCTTGATGCTGGGCACATACAAAGATTTGTAAGGATGCTTCCTGAAATTTCGTCATAAGGCCCTGTTTTTCAGAAATGGTGAAAAACACACAGCTGCTGCTGCTGCTTTCTGTTGAGGAAATATGTGTTCAGCATCTCTGAAAGTGAGAACCTTTACTGTCCTAAAGGCAGGCCTGTGCCATACTATGAAGAAGAAAAAATGTTACAGGAGAACTTAGCTAAAGAAGCGCGAATGGCCAGTACATCGTTCTATGCAATGAAATAGTAGATTTGACCTGAAGCTGGCTCCCCGCTCCCCACACTGCAAGCCTCTTTATTCTGGAAAGCATTCTCTTTTCTTAAGCTACAGAAGCAGCAGCACAAAGGTTGAATTTGCCATTATAGTTGTTACCTGGAAAGTAGCACTGGTTCTAGACTCTGGGCTGCCACTGATGTCTAAATTTTCTTACAGTCTACACACGAATACCTGAAACATACACGCGCACAGTCAATTACTGGGGCATCTTAGGAGTGTATATTTTAAAGCTGCAAGCACCCTACCTTTGCTGTTGCCCTTGCGCGGAATTCGGGGCAGCCATTAACGTTTATGGTTTCATGCATATATTGATATACCTGAAGCGGGAAAAACAAACAGAAGCAAAACGAATCATCGAGTGTTTCTCCGCAAGTCAAAAGCTCTGAATACAATTTAGTGCTTGTTTGCCTGGCCAGTTTTTTTGTTTTTGTTTTGTACTTCTCATGTCATAGTACAATGCTACCTCCAACAGTGTTTTTGTACTACAGTGGTACCTCGGGTTAAGTACTTAATTCATTCCGGAGGTCCGTTCTTAACCTGAAACTGTTCTTAACCTGAAGCACCACTTTAGCTAATGGAGCCTCCTGCTGCCGCCACGCCACCAGAGCACGATTTCTGTTCTTATCCTGAAGCAAAGTTCTTAACCTGAAGCACTATTTCTGGGTTAGTGGAGTCTGTAACCTGAAGCGTATGTAACCCGAGGTACCACTGTATTGATTTAATAATCCGTATGCCTCCCCTCAAGGCTGTTGGAAGCATATTGCCATATTCCAAGCACTCAGACATCTATATTTGATACACAGGGAATATGTAACACTTCCTCAGATTGCCATACATGGAACACTTGAGTGGGCCTGGGTCCCCATAATCATGTAAATGGGTGCATTTCATCCTTCACTCTTTATATATTTCTTGTAAAAAAAAACATGAGCGTTGCACTGGCGTGCACAAAGCAAACACATCTGCCTTATGAAGTGTAGAGCCCTCTTTAATTAAAAAACAAACAAACCACTTTTACATTCAACTGTTAGGAGCATGTGCCAGGAGCAGGTCAGCAATAAATCACATGGCATCAGTGAATTAATTCTTTCTTCAAGGAAACAAGGTTGACTCAGGAGGCCATGCCTAGTGAGCACAGCAACTTGTCCTGGTAGATCTTGCCCCTATGAGACAGTTGTGGGGGCTGACAGTCCCCACCTTCCCACAGTCTCCTCCTCGCCTGTGTCCTTCCCAAGCAATCTGATATTCCGTTGTCGTGTCTCTCTTCATACTGGTTCCTGGGAGACCAGGGGGGAGGGGAAATGGTTGCAGCATGAGTGGGAGACCCCCCTGGCTTCTTCACCAGTCTGACTCATCTCTGCTTCTTGCCCCCCATCCTCTTCATTCTCTGCTTCTACCTCTGATTCTGCACTGCTCTCTGCCACAGTCTCTTCCTGCTAACCAAACCCTGTTACCTCTTCAGCTTCTGACACCTTCTCCACCCACCCTGCTCCCTCTGACCACTCGTCCCACCACCCATCCCCTGCCTCTAAGTCCATGACATTAGTACAAACAGACACGCACACACGTTTTGCCTTTCTTTTTGTCAAGAAGCTGAACTTGTTAGCAATGTGTACTCCAGAAGTAAGACACCAACAAGAACAAAGAACAAAACACTACTTTTCTTGATTTCTTTTTTCACACAGAACTACTAAGAAGATAGGCCCTTTTAGTGTGCTTTAATTATTTAACACCAATCAAAAAATAGGTTGCGTTGTTGACTTTCTTGGGGATTTTTTCAAAGTTTTGGTGAGAGTGTTCTTTTCTGCTGCAGAACTGACCAGTGAAACTTTCAGTAAAGGCAACACTGCCATTAAGATACTTTGGACTAAGTTGTCAATTCAGACTTCGGTACTTTTAATGAAGATATAGATGAAGATGTTGACAGTCTGCAGAGGCTGTGAAAAAGACAAACTCCATATGTGGACTCCCCCCCCCCCACTTTGGTCTTGGCACAACCGCAAAGAGAATTTTCTTTTTAAAAAAATGTTTACTACATAATCTAGGCATGAAGTTGGCACATCACGAATGACATTGCTTGAAGCCCTAAGCATGGTCCCTGTTCTATACCCAACAGAGCACAGGATCAGACTCTTTGAATATCTGCGAACTTCTACATTCTTATACAGCGGAACTGCACTCAAACAAGTTGCAGCAAGAATGCTTAGTGCACTGAAGATACCTACTGGCATATTTATTAAATTTGAAATTGTAGTCCTGTGGCTCTAATCAAATACTAAATCATCAAGACATCCTTAATCATCTCAGGTCTAATTTAATGTACCATGACTTATTGGTGTGATAAATAATCAAGTTATAATTGCTTTCACTTGAATACTCACTCCAAGTGAAAAATGTCAATGTTTAAATAATGTAAGAGGCCATCAATTAATTTCAGAGTCTGCTTGATATTACGCTGTGCTGCTCAATAGCAATAAACACAAAGTGGGTACTATGTTTGCAGTACTAGCGTGGAGGGACATATCTTTCTGTTTCTGCTCTGGGATCCAGCAGTGGTTTTTTTTTTTTTAATACTGGGACAATAGCAGTCAGTACTGTTCTCAGGAGACATCTGTATGTGGTTTTGAGCTTTGAAAAAGGATTTTTTTGGGGAGATGATAGCACCTTTAGCACATTGTTCCATCTGCTACAGTGTAACACAAAAGCAATTTTCCAGGACCAACAGCACAAAACATAGTTATGTGGACATGCATTGTTTTTTGAAGGCTCATGGGGCATAGCTGGATGCTGCAAGTAGTTCACAACTGCAAGCCAGAAGTGAGGAATAATTGTAAGACCACAAAAAAACAAACCCATCTACTTTATCTTTTCTTATTACAAGGAGGAGGAATGAATGCTGCAAGATAGTGTGGTTTGTCAACTGGAAATTAACAATAATAATAATGCTACCACTTAAAAGGAAACTGATTTCGAGTTGCACAGCTAAGTCCACATAGAGTATACCCATTGAAACCAGTGGACAATTTAGTCATATCAATTGATATCCATAGGTCTGCTACTGGTATGGCTTACTTGGTCCTAGCCCTCTGAGCATAATTTTTGGTGATGCAAATGGATCCTTGATAGCCCTCTAAAAAGCACTTTAGTATGATTTAATGAATGAGCAGTATAATTATTTTGACCGGGGTGACTCTGGTTCAAATCCTACATATAATTGCAAGAAAGAAATGCTGTTTTAAAGAGAAGGCAAATAAAAAACAAGGGCCACAGTCCTCCTCATTACTTAAGCTGCCTTCATTTGTGCAGAATTTCAGCAATGATTTAATGAGCTATAGTACAGAAAAGACTTGGTCCAGGCAGGGTTGACCAACATAGTGTATTAATAATGTTTGCATTTTATCTTAATCTTGAGAGATATTTTTTTTGCTGTTTTTTTTAAAAAAGCACCATCCCTTCTAATTTTGAACTCAGGCGGTTGAGTGCCTATTAGTTTTGGAATGAAACTGAGTCATCCAAAAATACAGAAGTGGTTTCTTCATATTTCAAGGACTCCCTAGGCATGCAGAAGGCTAAAAAACCCTCAAAGCTGCCTGACCATAACTAGAGTGTTTATAAGAATGTTAAGAGGGGTGGGGGAATCTAAAGAAACCACAATCTAAATTTTGACAACTTGCAGATCTGAAAACAGATGTTTTAATTTACTCTTGAATGCCTTGTCCCCCACCACAATAATTTATTTCAATATACATTGGAAAGGTCAAACAGTAAAAATCTGGCTGACGGACAGAAGTTAGGCAGACTGGGTGAGTCTTTCAATTAAGTCTATTGTTGAAAGCAGTTGAGGCAAGGAATGTTCAGAAGTTTACTGTAATGAGCTCTCTATATGGGGCTGCTTTTAAAGACAGTACAGAAACTTCAGCTGATACAGAATGCAGCTGTTATGATGCCTGTCAAGGGGACAGGCATCTGAATCAATTCTATACCAGTTGCACTGGCTGCCTATTTGCTTCTGGCCTCCATTTGAAACACTTGTTTTGATTCTAATCAATTAACCCATTTCACTAATAATACATGTGTTCTTATTAACTGCATGTGTAGCTCAATGCTTTTGAGATCTGGGCCAAATTAATAGATCTAAACGACTGACAATTAGCAGGCTGTTTATTACTATTATTAGAAACTGGCAAAAATATCCCAATAATTTTGAACTGGGGGTAGCCAAGACTATATTGCCAATAACACACTTGTGCTTTTTTAAAATCATACTGCCACTCGCAGCTAATGGGAACATGGAAATGATCAGTCTTTGGAGCCTCATAATTAGTATATTGCTTATGTATTGATCTATTAATACAGCATCAGTTTAAAAGTGTAAGATTGCCTTTGCTCAATCTGATCAGTGATCCATCTAATGCAGAATTCTGTTTCACTCATGGCTAGTTGGATGCCTGTGGGAAGTTTATGTGAAGGACATTAAGGCAACGGACATAACCCGCTGTCTGTACTAACATCTTTATTCACTGCCTCTGAATTCAGGGATTCAGTTTTGTTATCATGGCTGATAGCTGTTGATAGAACAAGCAGCCATCACCTGTGTACTGCAGGGGCCAGCAAGGTTTATCTTGCCTGGGCTAGATCAGTCCTGCTGTGATCCCTCTGTAGACCGGATTGCACATGCGTGCCCGTGATTTCTAGCACCACGGAAGTAAGTCCCCACGCGTAGTGCGTGAGTGGGCAGCTCGGTTTGGGGGTGGCTTGTGGGCCGGTCAAACAACCTCCGTTGGCTGCTTCCAGCCCATGGGCCTTAGGTTGTTGACCCCTGGTGTACTGTATCTTCTGGTAGAGAGTTGCTGTAGTCCTATATAAAAGGCCTCTGGCAGCAAGCAAGGATAACTAAAGCTCCAATCCTACCAAGGAGGGCAAAAACCAAAGATGGATGAACAGCAGGGTAGATGTGAGGTAAAAAAAAAAGAAAGAACACTTGAAATCCTTCTTCCTTTAAATGTATCCCTTTTTAACGTTTCCCTTTTCATCATGGGAGAGATTTAGACCAACTCCTGAACTGGTCTAAATCTTCCCTGTCTTGAGGGTATGTCAGAGGACTGTGGCGACTTTGGATTACAGTGGTACCTCGGGTTAAGAACTTAATTCGTTCCAAAGGTCCGTTCTTAACCTGAAGCTGCTCTTAAGCTGAAGCACCACTTTAGCTATTGGGTTCTCCTGCTGCCGCTGCATGATTTCTGTTCTCATCCTGAAGCAAAGTTCTTAACCCGAGGTAATATTTCTGGGTTAGCGGAGTCTGTAACCTGAAGCGTAT